TATATATATATATATACCTTACTTTTATAAGGAAATGGTAATATGGGACCTTGTGCATGCACTTGTTTTTTTTATTTTTCACGCGTTCATGCATGAGTATTATTGACTATTGACTACCTTTTGGATTTGGTTCAATCTTCATGGTTACTAAAATATTAAGAAATTAAAAAAGAAAAATCATTTTGGTCCACTTGTACTTTTCTAACTCACTGTTCGCTCCAATGTTACTTCATTGGAGTTCTTTAAACCTACAAATAAACAGACAGTCTGTAAATTGTAATCTACAATGAATTATCAAAGTCTCCTATGGTACCTACTTTTTGCTAAAGAGCATATTCCCACTTCCCACATTTAACATACTAGCTCTATATATTTTTTTCCTTCTAGTTTTACCCAAGAAGAAAGAGGTAATTGTTTATATCTACATAAAGTTAAAGTTACTGAATACAGAATCAAGTCATATCATCGAAAGATGAATTCTTCCCATTCTTATAAAATTTAAAAGTTTATTAAGTGAATAATTTATATTATATAATTAAGATTTTTTTACATTTCTTTTATTATAAATCTCCTGTTTAGAACTTTATACAACCACAGTTTTGAATGAATGTTTCAAGATATATGAATGAATGTAACTCAAGTACAAAATTTATAATAAAAGAAATACGGAACAAAAGAAAGAAAGAAAAAAGTAAAGTTAATAAAAAAAATGTCAATATTATCAAGAAATATATTAGTTTGACAATATTTATTTATTTTTAGACATCTTCAACTTAGAGAATGAACTCGAAAATTGAAGTGAAACCAAAAATATGAACATGCTACTAAAACTAGAATTGCTTTCAATGGATTTTCTAGATGAAATGTACTCAAAATTGATAAAATAAATGTACAGGTAGGGGGTTCGGCCACCACCCCATCGGCCGCCAAATGGCGGAACCAGGAAGCCGAATGCCAATCGGCTACCAGGATCGGCCTACCATCATTTGGTATTCTTAATCAAAGATTAGAGGTTAATTAGTCGATTAAGGTGTATTACCTAATACGGTAAATATGTCGCAGGGCCCATGGGGTCCAGGGCCCATAAATGTCAGTATAAATAGCTCAGGACAAAAGGTAACGTCACTGTTCATTAATTATCCTAGATATTCGAGCTTGTCCTGACTTGAGCGTTGGAGTGCCTTTTGCAGGTACCAACCCCTTCATCAGCGCATTGGATCGGAGCTCTCGTTCGGCCTTTGGACTACTAGAAGACTTAGTGTGCCCATCAGACAGGTACAATAAATAAATAAATTTTACAAACAGTCAAACTAGCTAGAAAGTGTTTTTTATATTTTTATTTTTTCAACTAATCTAGAAACTCTTGTCAAAATTTTCAAAATTACGAAAAACTGTTCAAATTCTAGACTACTTGATAAAGAACTGATATACACTATCCTTATGTATATTTTGTTCTTACAAGCATAATAATTTTGAGTGAAATTAAAAATTATTTATACTTGTAAATATTTAATCATATAATACTTAAATACTTATGTTTATAATTTTTTTCTATTATAGGTAAAATTTTAAAAAATTATTTAAATACTAAACCCTAAACTTAAATATTATGTAACTTTATCATTACTTAAGTTGTTATATTGACTCGGATTTGTCATGTCTTGGAGTTGGGGATGAATGAACCAACCATGGTTTTGTCGGTCTCGTTTGTCGATAATGTTGCTGACTTTTTTCTACTATGATAGGACAACGTGTCATTGAAACAGGGGTAGAACTTTTATCATATAAATTTCTTTGGATGTGATATGAACAACATCTAGAACCACATGCTATAAAAATTTCATTATTTATTGATGGTACATTTTTTTCTCCAACTTTAGTTTAGTCAGATTCCAACCTAAACCCATTAAATTTTGGGTCCCCGTTGCACACATTTTACTCTATCGCTTCAAAACCAAATCTTTTCAGTTTTAAGGTCTCCAAATTAGGTTGTCTTTTTTTTTTTATTTTTTATTTTTAATTATGTTATAAGTATAAAGTATTTATGACTTTTTAACATTAAAGTCTCATTATGTATCCAAACAAATCTGGACTAATTTTATAATAAGTTCATACCTTTGTTTGCTTAATTGAATTGAATATTGTGTACACTTGTTTACATAATTCATTCATTCCATTTTTATGCTCAAATTCCTTATAGACTGTAGTAACATATATTAGATTATTTTAAGGAATAATGTTATATGTTCATAACATTTTATTAAAAATATTAAATAAAAAAGTGAATTAATATAATTAGTTAACGTCTTATATGGTAAGTATATGCTCCCAAATTCCTTCAAAATATTCTACAGGAATAAGATCACTTGTAGAAAGAAAACGGGGGACAACAAATAACTATTTATAATATAAAAGACAAAACTCTCTCTCACACACACACACAAAAAAGAGGAACTTGTGAAAAAGAAAATGGATATAGGACAGATAGAGTGATCTAACAATATATTATATTTTACTTAGTTAACTTATGTGGTACCGGTTGTATTTGAAATGGAATTGGTTTTTGTTAACATTTCTCACTTAATTTGGCAACATTTTAAATCAAACTCAATTATTATTAGTTAAAACTATATGAGTTATTATTTTAATTTTCTTATGTTACTATTTCATTTTATTAAAAATTCGGATAGAGTACTCAACTCTTAAAAACATGGATGTGATTATAGAGGTACGTGTCTCAGTCAATATTGGGCATGTTTGATGTTGATGATATATATAGCATATTTTTATGTACGTATTATTTAGATTTAATTGTAATTTTGGTGTTCTAGTTTGATATATATGAGCAATTTTGATTCCATAATTTAATATTTATTATTTATTTCAAAATTCTCCAATCACTAAATTATGAGATAAAAATGCAATTAAGACTATTTATTATTTATTTCGGAAGTTCTAATCCAATACGCCATTTATAAGGAACGGTTTTTTTTTTTTTGAATGTTTCTTGCTTATTAGTTTATAATAATTAAGGAAGTCAATGTCATATCTTAGTTAGTATATTGTACTTTTTTAATATTTCAATCAATACTCAACCACTCCCTACTACATTTCTGTATTCTAGAATCTTTCCTCAGTTGCTTATTCATTTAATACTTTTTATATGTTATTATCCTACTTGGTGCTTCTACTTGTTTAATGATATTCCCAACATCACTTTATTTTTATTTTTTTTATTTTTTAAATCTGAGTTTGATTCAGAGTGCAAACTGCAAAGAATATTTCACTGGTATTTTTTATTTTTTTGGTAACGTTTAATTTTTTTTTGGTAACGTCACTTGTATTTGTTTGAAGTTTTATTTATTTATTCGCGGTATAGAATCCATATATTTTTAAATTTCAGGATTAGGACCAATATTTGCTGATTTCCTATGTAGAAAGACTAGGCTCATCTATCTTCATTTCCAGCCCATTTTGGAACAATAGGCCCAACTCAATATATACACCGGTAAGTTATTTTTTATTTTTTATTATTATTTTTTAGTTTGGTAAAAATCATTAAAAAAATGCAACAAATTTTATAATTAAATATTCTATTTCTAAAATACCCTTTTAATAAATTTTATAATAATTAGGTAAAAGTTATGTTAATTGTGTTTCCTATCTTAGGCTGTGTAGTTTTCTTTTCCATTCATTAAATTGCATGATCCCCGTTCTTTGTCCTCACTCAATTACATACTTAAATCCAAACCTTAGCTTACAACTAGCAAAATGTTCCAGATATCTATAAATTAGGAAGGTAAAAGTTATATTCAAATGTTTTTGATATAATAATCACAAAAATATTGGTCAAAGTTTTATAATATATGAAATAATATATTTATTTAATTTACCTTTATCATTGCTACAATCAAACAACACTTAAGTATTATGAATAATATTTTATAAACAATAATGAATTTGAAATAATATAATATTTTGATATGATTTAATATAACTAGTGAAGTATTGCACTTTTAAAAAAAAAAATTTTTTGCAATAGTTTTATTTTTAAAAATAAATTTAAATCTTCAATATTGTAATATTCATTAGAGCTTTACACGGGGTGCATATCAACATATTGTTGTAATTTTACATTCATTTGTTGTTAAAAATTTAACCCAACTTCATTAATTCATGCAAAAGATTAAAATCACATTAGTTCATGATATACTTATAGTAATTAACAATAATTAGTAGTTCGGCCACATCAGATACCAAATATGAAATACCCCAGCTTTTTACCATGGTACCTTGTTACATGTTCATCAACATGATAATAGAATTCTCATAACATAGCAAATCACATCTTTCAAATACAGTGACAGATGAGCTTAATGCACAAATGTACAAACAGACATATATATCATGATTCACCACAGGTGAAAGGCATCATGTATGTGCCTATTGAACTCTTTATTAGGTACCTTTTCTGCATTTTCAAGCATACACTATAACTTTGTTTTGTTAATTTATTTAGATTGAGCTAACCATGCCATCTTCTGATGATTCCTTGGTGGCCAGAGTAGCCAATCCAGCAGAATTCCCATTAACAAAGTTACACTGTTTTCTGATTTGTCCTTGAGATCCTGTTAGCACCCGAATGTTGCCCATTTTGATCATTGAAGCCTTGAAGTTCTCAAAGAAAAGTGTTTGGTTGCTACTGAACCTATTGACTATGTCAATGGTATCAGCACCTGTTGTGGAAAACAACTCTTGGTCACTCTGAAGCAAGCCCTTGTTAACTAAAAGATTGGAGTAGTAGTTCTTGTCAAATGTGTCAGGTGTGGTTGGATCAAAATTGGCAAGGTTATTAGGTCCACCATTGGGGCATGTTGTGCGAAGTGTTTGTAAGTAAGTTGTGTTAAGAGTTGGATCAGGGTTTCCAGTGTTGCTGAAATTGTATAATCTGTCACTAAAGAAAGAGCACTGAGCTCTGCCAAATGTGTGAGCACCTGAAAAATTAAAGGGTCAAAATGCCGTGTCATTTTTTTTTTAACTATGGAGATAATTTTTGTGAAGTGCCAAAATGTTGATATGTACCTGAGAGTGCTACTAGATCAGTGGTGTTGAGACCTTGAACAGCAAAGGCTGCTTTAAGTTGAGTGAGGTTGAAGAATGGAGCTGGAAGATTTTGATTGGCAAGGGTTCTGTTTGCTGTTAAACTGTCCCTTCTGCCCAATGGAACTTTCCAATCAGGACCTTGTGCCTGTGAATAGTTGCAAATTATTGAAGAGATGAAGTAAGGTTAAAAAGTCATACATGTCAACTTAAACTCTGATTTAACACTTTGTACATGAAGAATGTTGTATTCAATTTTCAAACTTGGGTGCGAGTAGACTTTTTTATTTAATGATTTGTTTTAGTTAATTCATTAATCAACATTCATTTTCTCTCTCTCTCTTTTCTTAAATGGACAATTAATTTATGAGCATAGGTTTAAGGGAGACCATAAAATTGGCTTTAAATATATGAAAAATTGAGGAGAATTTTAAAAAGGATTGCTAATGAAATCAAAGGAAAGTGATTCTTAAGAAGCAAAACCTCCTATCTTATGTCAATTAAAAATTAAAATGACACATTCTAAAAACTAAATTAAAGAAGAAAAAAAAGGGTAAACTTTTTGGCATAATTAAGGATTACAATTGTGATAATATGCACATTTGGAAAACATACATGGACAAAGTCTCAACTTGTAAATTTTATATCTACTCCATTGTTATTTTTTATAAAGTGAAAAGTATCAAAGTAATGGAATGGTTTGAGAGGAAAAATATTTTAGAATTGGATAGAACATACCAGAACAGAAGAAATTTCAGTAGCAAGGGCAAGAATATCAGCACAAGAAACTACATCAGGACAAGCACTTTCAACCGCAGTCTTGATTTGGTTCACAACATCCAAACCTCTTATTGAGTTGTTGTTTGGCAAAGCTTGTTGCTCACTCTCTATTGTGGCAGTGTTGTTCAACAAAATTGATCCATCACAGCCCTACAAGCCAAGATTAAGCATGAGAAAGATAATGAACTTATCTCTCGATCATTCTCAACAACTATTATTCCAAAAAATATAAAGAGTTTGTGAAAAATGAATGTATATGACGATGACACGAAACATAGGAGAAGTGATGAAGAAACATACTTGAACAAAGCAGTCATGAAAGTGGAGCCTTATGAGACTAGCAAGCATTCGGGGGTCTGATTTAGAAACGTTTCTAATGACTTCACGTACAATAGAATGCACATTGGGACATGTGTCCCTATAAAAGGAGGGGTCTAACTGTGCATCTGAAGAGAATGGTAGTGCTCCAAGCACAACCAATACACAACACACAACTGTTACTTCCACACGAAGGGGACTCATTCCTCTATTTGTTCTAAGTGCTGATGAACCTGGTGGGTTTGTGAGAACCCCCCAGATGAGTGTTGTCTATTTATAGGGACAGATAAGCCTGAGTGCAATGTCGTCCCTTCATTTTGTGCTTTAGTGGATATGATTTTCAATCATGCCACTTGAGAGAAAAAACGTGTGAATTGTGCAAAGATCTCCAGAGATTTCTTGTGTTAGAAGAGGTTAAGTTTTGACTAAACTTTCAATTTGCTTCTCCAAATTACACCACTTTTCTTATAAATATATTAATTGGTATAAATTATTTATTATTTTTGTAAAGTGACTAATCTTCATCTTCCTTAGAACTTGATTGACAATAATAGAATTTCTTTCTAATTCCCCTCTTTGGGGTTTGCATCCAACCGGTAAGTTTATCTCATAAATCCATAATCTTCAACTAAGTTGATTCATAAATTAAAATTGACATTAATGGTAAGTTTAATTTCAGACTTGACAAATAAACTGATATAAGTGTGTGTTTGGATTTAAATTGAAAAAATTAAGTTTAGTTGAACTTAATTTTATAAATTTAAGTTTAGTTAAAAGTAAATTTAGTATAACTTGATTTATGTTTGGATACTTTTATTTCAAAACTACTTTGTTGAAATGAAAGTTGTTTGGATAATATTAATGAAAAGTATCTTCATATGTATAATTACTAAGATGAATATGTATTTTATAGTGACATTAATATTGTTTTTTATTTATTTATTATTTTTAGTATATTTGAATTAATGAAGAAAGTTTATTATTATTATTTTATCTTTTGATATTAATATTATTAGTCAAACTTATTTTTAATAAATTTTGTTATTAAAAAAATCAAATAAAAATGAATACAAGACTAAATTAAGTACAATAGAATACATAAAAAAAAACCAATTAATTGTACATATTATAAAATAAAATACAAGTTAGGAAAACATAAGGATCAAAATAAATATAAATAACATATAACCTATAATTTGGTCTCTAATATTAGATCTAAAATCAGAGATCCCACATATTCAAAAAAGTTGAAACATCCAAAATCAAAGAGCTCACATGCATATGGAGGGGTATGCCCAAGGAATTTCGAAACCAAGTAATATGTTAGATTTATTACTTCTTCAAGTTGGTAGGTGAGAGTAATGGTGTCAGTTGCACTAGTTAAAATTTAAATGCTACATGTTAAGTTAAAGGGGAGTTGAGAAACAAAAACTTCTCATTCAACAAAAAAAAAAAACAACATAAGTGTTGCTTTGGATGCTGCATTCATTCAGAAATGAACGTTAATTCGACTGTCCAAACAGTAAACCGAACATAGCCTAAGCCGTCCAATGAACCGGTATAAACCGTCCCATCTCTTTGTAGTTTGCATTGTAGTATTGTAGTGCCACTGGTATAAACCGTTTCATCTCTTTGCATCATTTGAAAAATGAACCGGTATGTCTCAGTATAGATGTGCATCAGTAAAATATATTTTTATAATACATTATACGTTTATTTTTATTTTTCAAATATAAAATTGTTATTTTTAATTCAGAAATTTTTTAAAATTTTGTTTTAATTTTTCAGGTTATTAATAACATCTAAAAGTATTAGATTGAGATAGCATCGTAAGTTTTTAATGTAATATATTTACTAATAGAGATACTAATAGATAAATTTTATGTAATAGTATTTAATAGATTTTTTAACAAAATTTAAATATAAAAATTAAAAAATATATATATTTTTAAATTATAGGAACAAAAAAACTAATTTTAAATTTGAAAAATAAAAAATAAATTTATGTTAAATTTGAGAGATTTAAAATATACTTAAATCTTTATAATATATATTTTAAAATTATATATTTAATAATATATTAAAATTTTACTCGCTGTGTTAATCGAGTCTTTCCAAATTTTAAAACACTTATTCTCTCATATTAATTTAATTTCTTCGATTTATTTATTTATTATATATATGTAAATTAGTTTAATTTTATCTTTTTTAAAAGTATTTATAAGAAAAGTTCACATTAATTAAAAATTAAATCTCTTGTGTATATAAAAAAAACCATAATAAAGAGACATCTCATTGAAAATAAAAATAGTAATATGAAGTTTCTCGACTCAAACAAAATCGATTTTGTGTATTAAGATCACATCTTATGATGACAATTACAGAATTACTAATATACTTAAAGTAATAAGAACTACACGCAAGTCAGAAAAACAAAAAGAAGATTGAGATGCGATGGAACATTGTTTATAGACTTGTTTTTTTTAGTTTTCCACGCGCTCTTTTGGTCAATGTCCATTCATTATGTCTGAAAGTTACTTCCTTAAAGAAGTTTTAAAACATTTTAAGGCTAAAAGTTAATATTTTTCTTATAGTTGGATTTGTCATTCAACCGTTTATTATACTGGTTTAAAATTTAATAGTTTTTATTAATTTTTAAATAAATATATTAAAGAGAATGAAGTAATCTGGAATCTCATTGAAAATCTTTAAAGAATTTGATGATTTGTTCTAATCTTATATAAAGTTTTGATTTACCTTAATATAAATTTTATTGTAACAAAAAAATATTTTAATAATTTAATCTAAGTTTTTATTAATGCATCTTAATATTTATTATTAATAATAATTTATATTTAAAATAGTAAATAAGACGACAAAAAATTTAGGTTAATTTTAATTATTTTAAAAAAATTATCGACTCACTATGATTTTTGAGCAATTTTTGGTCTTTTTTCTTTTACCATTGTTTTACTAATTTTTAACTAATTTTTTGTTTGGCCGACCGGTTTGATTTTTTTAAAAAAATATATAGGAAAATAAAACAGGCAGCCTTTTGCCAGAGGTTTTAAGTTACTCAAGGGTAGACTCTTTGTCAAAAAATAATCTACATGAATTTATAATTATTATGTTTCAATAATAATTATCTGTTCGTATTATTCATTTTTATAATATCTTGAGGATGGCAAAAGGAGCCTAAAACGATCCACGACCATGCATGTTTAGATTATTGTTTTACTATTCCGAAACATGATTTAGAGGATGAAGAGGTTAGTTCTTTTTTAAAAAAAAAAATCGAAATTAATTTTATCAAGATCAATAAAATATTGGTAGTGTAAAAGTTAATTTTACAGAATTAAATATTTTCAAGTCTTTATAAGAAAATATTTATTTTTTTCTTTAATAAATTTAAATTCCTTTTTGTTTTATCACTTATAAAAAAAATATATCAGCTGTAAATCTTTGTCATGAACAAAGTTTGTTCCCTCCTATTTAGTATTTATGAAAATAAGAATCATATATAGCACACTTCTATATATGAATGATAGGGTGATTTTTTTTTGAAGCACTAGATATTAATATTACCTTATTTACAAGAATTAAAAATATATTTAATTCAATTAATTTAAATATATCTAAATAAGAATGTAATTTCGACTACCAAATAATTTAAATAAATAAAAAAGTATTTATTATTAAGTGAAACCGTTGTTTGCTTATGATAAACCTGACACACATGAATCTTGGGTGGTTGGGGATCTAGTTTGTTTTATTAGGATATCTTTCTTCTTATGCCTTGTTAGTATATTAGGAATATATAAAGTAAGAGATGTATATATAATTTCATAAAATTAGAAGGCAATGGTGTAATTTATTCTAGAATTAAAATTTTGTAAATTAAAAAATTTAATATTTCAGATGCAAATTAAAAAAAAAATCCTTAGTTTTAGCTTGTCTTTTTTAATATTTTACAGTATATACGATTAATGATATAAAAACATTTCATACTGTCATCTAATTTTTTCCTAATAAGTTTATAAGGTATAAATAAATTTTACCGAAGATGATGCATAAAATTTATAAATTCATAATTTTTATCAATCTTACAATGATACCATGAAAGAAAATGATAAAATGGGATTGGAAATTAGTGTAAAAAATATAAGAAGTAAACTAAATCAAATAAATTATAAACCCTAAACCTAAAATAAATATTATAATTATATTTAATCTTCTAAAAACAACATATTTATTTTCAATTCTTATTAATTTAAAGATTTTCATTAACATGTCAATGAACAATAATGCCTACACGTATCATGAAAGTTTGAATACAGCTAGCATGTTAAAGACATGAATGATGTGACAAAATTAAACAGCTTGCATCTCTTCAAACTCTTGCTTCCAATATTTTCTTTAACAATTTGAGGGCATAGACTAAACTAAGAGTTGTTATACAATAATTTATTTAAAAAAACTTAACTACTTAGGTAAATGACTCGTAGACCAACACATAATGCACATATTTTAGACACGAAAAGAATCCACGAGATCATGGGGAAGAAATTAAACCTACTTTTGTCGGTCTTGTTTGTCTACCTTACTAGGTTTTTGATGAACATTTTTTCCAGGAAGAAAGAACACGGTGTTGGTGTGGTAAAACATTATGTGCTCGAGGCAGACACATGCATCTAACTTGGACAACTAAACTTTTTTTGGTGAGAAGAATATATCTAGAACCATTTGTGACATAACCCACATGGTGACACACAATATATAATAATTTATGACATTGTTTTCAAACTTTTTATCCCATTCTTTCAAACTGTTCCGTTAAGATCCAATCTAGACCAGTGGACTTTAGTGCACGGTTGCTATCAAACTCCATTTGCCCAAGTGTGCCTGTTTGAATTCTATCTTTACTTTTGAATTTGTCAAGTTTGAACAAACATTTAAAAAAAAAAAAAATACAAATCTTGACTCCTAGTGGTATCATTCCTTGTAAATTTGTTGTTTTCATTTCAAAATTAGTTATAATAAATCTTTGGGAGGAGCTTGCAGTATTCTCTATATATGTACATTTCTTTACTTTAGAGAGTGTATAAATATTGGTTAAATTAAGATTAGATATGAATTTACGCTATATTTGGTTATGTGTTTAAAAGTTTTAGAATGTATGTTTTACTTTTCAATGCATAAAATATGAAAGTTAAAACACTGTTTGTTGCTGTGAAGTTAACGTGAATTATATTGAACACGCACATATATTGACTTGCAAAACATTACCTCCTCTAATTCTATAATCAATCCGATTTTGAAATATTGTGAATAACACATCACTTCAACAAAGAAAAATGAAACAATGTTGAAAAGATAAGAGAATAACATCCACCTAAAAATTGACCTTCCTTGCGTATTTAGTTCACCATCGTTAGCGTGTATACCGTGCAAGGTGTGGATTAACTGGGAAAAAAAATTACATAATTGTGTGTTAAGTTTTTTTATTGCAAAATTATTATTTGACAGAAGAAGAAGAATACGATCAAATAATTTTGAATTAATTAATAAGCTATCGAGAAAAAAATTATACATTATGCCAAAAAGACACAACTCATATATACTTGAGTATAACATTTAAGCTTTTTTAAAAAAATAATAAAATTTCTTTACATGTCTTACACCATATCTTTAGTTGCGATTAGATATGCAACTTATATCTGATAGAAAGAATTAGACACAGTTTGAATAAATTTCTCAATACATATCTATACGAAAAAAATAAGTGTTGTCAGTTCCAAATTTGATTGATTAGTCGTGAAAATGGCCAATAACTAAATAGTTGATTTCTTTGTAGACAGTTGATTTAAACAGAGAGTTTCCTTTGGATTGAGTTCCTAGTCTAATTTTTTTTTTAATAAATAATAAAGTTTAGATTGAAACAAAAGAGGATCTTGTGCAAAGTTAAAAGTCGCCCATCAATATTTATAAAAATTTTTACTCTACTTAAAAAGTTTTTTCTAGTAGTTATTGATTAAAGATTGGTTAAACTACCCCTTCTATGTGAAATTGTGATAAAAGGATCACAATAAATAACAAAAATTTGAAAATGAAAATAAATGATTCATAAATTCTAAACTATTTTTCATCTATAAAAAAATATAAAATGCAATGAAGATCAAATCTAAATTCTCTCACATTTTTTTCCAACTCCTTCTCCCCTCTAAATTCATTGATGTTAAACTAGATTTTGATTGAGAATCCTAAAATGATGGTAAAAACTCCCATTTATATAGAGACAAAAATCATTAGTTGTATACATAACTATCTAGTTCCCATGTTTTAAGGAGGTAGGAAGTAGTATCTAATAGGGTGGGTTTTGGGCCAAAAGGAAAAAAAAATTAAAAGTTTAATGAATTTATATGTTAGTCTTTATTTTTTATTTTAATTCTTAAATCTAAACAATAACACTTGTAAGGTTATTATCCAAATGTTGACATCAGCTAAGTTATATAAGTCCATTCCCCTTACATATGGGGCATTAATAAAAGTAGGGGTGTTCATAGATCGATTTTTAAAAAAATTTAAATCAAACCAAATCGAACTATTTTATAAAAATAGATCGGTTAACCAATCATTTTTTTATAAAGTGAATCAGTTTGATTTTTTTAAAATATGGATCGATTTTTTTAAAATTAGATTGGTTTGGTATGGTACAGTTATCCATTTTTTACTCATATATGGATCTATTTTTTTAAAAAACCAAATCGAACTGAACCGATCCACTTTGTAAAAATGGATCGAATAACTGAACCGATTTTATAAAGTGGATCGGTTCGTAGTTTTTTTCAAAATGGATCAAATTTTTCAATACGAATCAAATCGGTTATAGATCGGTTCGGATCACTTTAAATTTTTTGTATACACCTAGATGAAAGAATTTTTTGTATACACCTAGATGAAAGAAATATCTCGATGTCTATTTTATATTGTTTTAGCTCTTTTATGGCGGTCTTAAGAATTATAATAGCTTAATTGTTAGTTTTCTAACATGTGTGCTTTCATCCGACTTACCCTATCTTCCATGCCCATGGAAGACATTCTCCAAATTATTTCATCATAACTAAACGTTATGCATTATGGGAACCATAACTAGATTATACTTAGATCATTTCATCTATGTATAATTCAATAATAGAATATTTTCTTTAAATTTTACCAGCTATTTTTTTATTAGCTTACCTTTTCTATTATGTAATCAACATACAAATGATTGATTATATTTTAGTTTTAGGATCGTCTCAAAACTAGAGGAAGGAGTCAAATAGCGTAAGTTAGCTAGAGGCACATACAGAAACTGATTATGAACACTACATGATTCAAATTAGAAGAAAGAAAATGTAACACAAACACATAACAAAACAACTAGTGGCACAGCATATAGCTTCTTTATTGGTACCCTCTAATCACACCAGTTCAAGTGTAATCATTCCTAATTCATTTAGATGGAGCTAACGCTACCCTCCTGTGATGATTCTCGGGAGGCCACACTAGCAATATCAAGTTCAGCAGATTTCTTGTTAACAAAATTACATTGTTTTCTAATTTCTCCTTTGGTCCCAGTTAGCACACCAATATTGCCCATTTTAATCATTGAAGCCTCAAAGCTGTCAAAGAAAGCTTTTTGGTCACTACTGAACTTGTTAACAATGCTGATTGTATCAGCACCAGTTGTGGAAAATAGCTCTTGGTCACTCTGAAGCAAGCCCTTCTTAACTTGAAGGTTGGAGTAGTAGTTCTTGTCGAATGTATCAGGAGTGGTTGGATCAAAATTGGCAAGGTTGTTAGGTCCACCATTGGGGCATGTTTTTTGCAATTGTTGCAAGTAAGTTGTGTCAAGAGTTGGATCAGGTTTTCCAGAACCACTAAAATTGTACAATCGGTCAGTAAAGAAAGCGCAGTGAGATCTGCCAAATGTATGAGCACCTGAAATTGAATCATATAAAAAATCATATACTAATTAATCCACCATCTGTTGTCTTTTATAACTTTACCCTGAATTTCAAGAAATTTTCCATTTATTAATATTATTTCCAACACGTAAGATAATTTGAATTTGGGAACATTTGTTACCTGAGAGTGCAACTAGATCAGTAGTGTTGAGACCTTGAGCAACAAAGGCTGCTTTAAGCTGAGTGAGGTTGAAGAATGGAGCTGGAAGATTTTGATTGGCAAGGGTTCTGTTTGCTGTTAAACTATCCCTTCTTCCCAAGGGAACTTTCCAATCAGGACCACCAGCCTGTGAATACATATATACTTGTATCATTTTAAGACTAATAAAGTAAAAGTTATTCTTAAGCATGACTAATAATGATATGTCTTTGAGCTAATCTTGTGATGTAATAATCAATGTTAAAAGATCATATGGACTTCATAGACATTTGAATTAATATCTCTATGAAGAAATTAAGTAAAGATATTTTTCTGAATGATCTTTAATTAGACTCAGCACACAAATAATCAGTTTGAAATTGCATTTATACCAGAACAGAAGAAATTTCAGCTGCAAGGGTAAGAATATCAGCACAAGAAACGACGCCGGGGCAAGCATTTTCCACTGCTGTCTTGATCTGGTTCACAACATCCAAACCTCTGATTGAGTTGTTGTTTGGGAAAGCTTCTTGCTCGCTCACTATTGTGGCAGTGTTGTTCAACAAAATTGATGCGTCACAGCCCTACAAAAATACAATAATTTTAGTTTCTTCAAAAAAATAATTATTTTAATTTAGCTTATGAATAGTAAAACTTATTTCATTTTTTTTTTCTTTTACAAGTGCTTAAGGAAGAAGTTACTATTCAGAGTCATAATCAATTTATTTCTAGTTCATTCTCAATGACTACATATGTGGCCATATCAGTATGGTGTGTCCGGTGGTCAAGCAATTTATAGGAACTTTTTTTGTCTCTCGAGTTTCATTGTAAACAACTACATATGACCATATGGTTGTGAACTAAGTCACCGACACTTCTGTGTATGACTACATTACACTATATAGGTTGAAGTTGTACCTACAAAACTTTAGGTTCAAATTTTGTTATTGTCACTAATTTATAATATTTTTTTTTCTGTTAAAAAATAAATATGACCGTATTACACCTCCCTTTAAAGAGTTGGGTTGGAGAGCTTATACTAAAATATGTGATAAAATGAAATGAAGGGTATGTATGTATATAATTACGTACTTGAACAAAACAGTCGTGAAAGTGAAGTCTAACGAGACTAGCAAGCATACGAGGATCTTTCTGAGCAACGCTACTCACGACTTGGCGAACAATGGAGTGAACGTTGGGACAAGTTTTCTTGTAAAAGGAAGGATCAAGTTGTGCATCTAAGGAGAGTGGTAGCACTCCAAGCACCACAACCATACAACACACTGTGACATGGAAGAAACCCCTCATTTTTCCTAATGTTAGACTCTGCGTCTCTTGTTGTTAATGTTGTGAACAAGGAGCCTTTATTTATGGAGACAATTATCACGGATATTCCTTGCGTCGGCTACCCATGCTATATTATAATCTTATTGTGTCTGCTAAAAGATAAAAAGTGAAAAGACAAAAAAGTTTTAGAAGTAATGAATTCGAGCATAACTCAACATTACAAAAAAAAAAATTATACGGGACGAATTATTTTATTATTAAATTTAGTACGTGAATAAATAATAAATAATTATTTTTAATAATCTAGAATAATAAATTTATATATAATTTAATTTTATAAAATCAGTTTAGTAAAAATTACTTTCCATTTATATATTATTTAATTATTTAATTTTTAATCGACATGAAATTTAAATTTTTTAATAAAAAAAATAGGTAAATATCATAAGCTATATGATTAACAAGATATGTGTGAAAAGAACTAAAAAGAATTGTCAATGATATGTGAGTGTTTATTACTTTATATATATATATATATATATATATATATATATATATAT